TCAGAACCCATCTACCCTGTATTTCCCAGTTTGTAGAGAAAGCTGGAGAGTTTTATGTGTTTGGAACTGAATGAAACTAGCTTGCAAGGTGTATGTGTTCAATTTTACCATCTGTGGCTTCCACTGACACCAGCAAGTATAAGACAACTAGGGAGCCTGAGAAGAAAATGCACTGTGGAGGTACAGCTCCTCCAGTCCTAACACTACTAACAATCTTCTGCTGTGCTAGTACAGGGTGCCAGAGTATCTTTCAGAGAATATAAGCAGGAGGATCTATAAAGTGAAGCCAAAGGTCCATGAGCCCAGCAGCACCTGCAGCAGCCAGCTGCAGATGGTTAAGGAAGATATCTAAGAACAGAGCAAGAACACAACCCCTACTCTTCCCCAAACAGTTTTCAGTTTCTGAGAATGAGCAGCTTTGGGAATATATACTTGCTACCCCTTTTGGTATGATTTATTTTTTCCTAGGGCATTCAAAGTTTTCCTGTATTTTGTGACTTTATTTCCATTGGCTGGACTTGAGGAATTCCAAGCAGAGGACCATTGTTTGGGAGAAACAGGTGCAGTAGTGGAGCCAAATGTGCCCTCTTGAGTGGGGACTGCAGGCTGTTTCCAGACCTGGTGCAAAACTCTTGACAAATAGTGAACAGGCTGCACAAAAATAGCCCAAGGCCTGGCCCCTGAGATGAACAGGGAATGTGGACCCCCCCTGCTGCTACATTTCTTCAGGTAACTCTTACAACTCAGATGCCTAGAAGCTTGTGTTAAAACTTAGAGGAGAAATGGGATGCGCTCTTAAATTGCCATTTGAATTGCTCCAGTTCTTCACTGGAAATGCAGTACTAGTGGATAACCCCAGCTTCCAGAGTTTCCCACTCTCAAAAGAGCAGCTAAATTGAAGGCTGACCTGGGAATGTTGAAAATACGGCATATCCAGCATCTTTCACTTCAGAAAAGGTGTTGGCTGCCTGCAGGCTTCTGAGTTGGCTGCTTTGTGGTTGGCAAGTATTCAATGTGAAGGTTCATGGCCCCCTGAGATGTCAGCCAGCCCTGCGTAGGGTGCAGGTGCTCGTGTGTGCAGAAGCCCTGTCTCCTTCTGAGAGCTGAGTGACAGAGGAGGCTGGATTTGAGAAGAGAGGCCTTGGTGACAAAGTGGAAACCTCAAATGCTTCATAGTGAATGATGCTGCAGCTTGAAAGGCCTCACTGGTAAAGGTGTTGGTTTGAATTTTAAATAATGTAGCCTTGCTTTGCACTGGAGTTTCCTGTGCAACTGCTTCCTCTTCTTGCTGTCCCTTCCAGCCCACCCCTGCCCAAAGATAGTTCTTATAGAGAACAGACTTTCAAGGTCTCAGCCCTTTATACAATGTGCCTCTACTGCAAAACAGAGACATATTTTGCTGAGTTAATAATGGGAATGGCTATGTGGCATATCAGTGGTGATTAGAGTTGCACTGATTTATACCTGATTCTTTATGATCTGCACCTTTTCCTCCTTCAGATATATTTTCATTATGTTGGAGTTTGCTTTTATTTGTCTGATTTCAAGTTGGTGCTTTGTGTAGCTCAAGCCCTGTAGCTTGTGTTTGATGTGTAATAGCAGACAACTTGAAGGTTGTGGTTTGTTCTTCATGTTAGAAAGCAGTTTGTTTCCCTAGTTTGAACTGTGTCACATCCTCTTCAGAGGAGTGTACAACCATATGGTTTGTTTTCACTGAGCTCTTTTGGAGGGGGTAGAGGCTGTGTCTGCCTGTGAATCAAAGCAGCTGTGTGTTAAGATCGCAGAAGCATCATGAAAATGAAATTAAGGAACCGTACAGCTGAAAACGGGGACTACCTGGGATGGATGGTCCTGAACTGAGATAGTTACTTCTTTGCAACTATATCTGGGCCCCTCACGTGGAGGGAGCAGGAGGGGAACTCCAGATACAGTTCCCTGGTGTGCAGGAGCCACCTCCTAAGCAGTCCCAGGTACCAGCATCCACTCTGGACTGGCTGCGTGTGCCAGTGTCTCTCCACTCATCGCCAGGACTGCCAGTACTGGGGAGTGTGCCAGCACTGCTGCTGTTTGTTTCCCATGCTTCGGTGGCCAGAGGGCTCCTCTCCAGGCTGACAACCAGGTAACTTTCCTCCAGCCTCAGTGTTTGTTGGGATGGATCTGAGTGTGAGCGGGGCCATTCCCTGGCTGGAAGGCTGAGCTTAAAGGAAGAGCGATGCGCAGATTGCACCGTCTTGTGCCAGCCACTGCTGTCAAGGCTGAGGAAAAACTTTAATTCATTTTAATGTAGTTATCGAGGCATTTTAATTCCATCAAAGGAAGTAACACAAGACAATCTAGAAATGTTTATTTGCTACTTTCAAAGCTGTGCTTGCTTTCTCCTTTTTGGGTTTTGCTTTGAGACTTACTTCTTGCTTACAGGCACAAGTATTCACCTTAAAAACTGCAGTCTGAATTTCATGTTTCAGATTTTCAGACATGAATATTTAAGCAGAGTAATATACTCTGTTCTTTCTGTAAAGCCCCATTTTTAATCGTTAATGCCTGTTCTTTTGAGCAAATAAACCATATATACATGTGACTTGTACACATTTTTAAAAAAGATAGTTCTCTGGGACAAGTTCCAATATGACAGTATTCTGTTTATGAATATTTATAGATTCATCAAAATTGGTGAGCACAAGTTACTTATACACTTTGTGGAGGTTTTTGTTTTGTTTTGTTTTTCTTTTGAAAGAGGCTGAAAACTATTTTCAAATTGGGTCAAATTCAAAATTCTAGTCAAAAAGGATATTTTTTGTGAAAAAAATGTTCAAACTTTGAAACTTTCTTATTTAAAGCAACTTTTGCATGCATAATTTATCCAAGTTGCAAAAAAAAATTAAAAATATCACCAAACCTTTTCACAGTATTGAATAACATGCAACAAATCAAATACTTCATTTGTGGCAAAGATTTTAAGTGAACAAAAATTAAATTGGGGAGGTTTTTTTTAATGTAGGAGGTACATTGCCTCTTGCCTGTTAGTAGCAAAATACTGATCCACGTGGTTGCACTGGCACCGTTTCCAGGTTGCAATGAAAGCTTTTCAGCCAGATGTATCAGCGTCTTGTTAGAACTGTGTAGAAAACCATCAGGCTGTTGTCTGAATGTGCATAGGTATTGCGTTGGCTTTAAGAAACACTGCTGCCTCTTGCACTTGGCTCAAGGAAGGGGCAGCATTTGTTTTTTCTGTGCCACAAGTATGGCAGTGTCCTGGTTCTTCTCCTTTGCACCAGGTGTCCTCACTTGATATATTTTTTACATTTACAATGAAATGTGTAATGCTGCATAACTGAAGCCTGTTTCTTTTACAGCAGCTGCTACCAGCTGAGGCTTTAGGTTTCCGTGTGCACAGTGAACCCTGGCTGCCTTTCCTCCTCTCAGCACACACCGAGAAGTGCTTGTAGTTAAAGAGGGGGTGTGAACCGTGCATGATCTAAATAGCCCAGAAGACAAGTCCTGTTGCAACACACATGGCATTTCTGAATCAACCTCTGCACAAAGATATTTGCTTGTCTGGTGCACATTGGGTTTTGACTTCGGAATGAAAACAACGTATTTCCCATGGGATGGAAACACAATTTTCCAGTCTTTTCTTGCAGCAGGTGACTGATTCAGAAACTAAAAGATCAAAGGGATAAAAATGATGGCATAAAGGAGAGAATGACAAAAGGTCTGCTAAGGAGACAATCTGAGGAAGTGCAGAGGCGAGCGATGGAAAATGAAATAGCTTTATGGGCAGGCTACAGGGAGACTCAAGACAAAAGTGTGCCATTGATTGCTGACAGTAACAAAACTGCAGTCAGGATGTGGCTCCTGTAGTGTTGTGGGAACAAGCACAAACTCCAAGACCTTGGCTTTATGGGGGTACAGCAGTGCACTGGTTGGGAACCTTTCTTCTGTGCAAAACCAGCATAAGTACCTGCTGCAGTAGGGTGCTCATCCTTGAGACCTGAGCAGAAGAGGCTGGGAGTTTGACAGTGGGCTTATATATGTGTGTTGCTCAGTACAACATAGTGTAAGTTTGCCATGCCAAATTGGGATCATTTATGTATGACAACTGACCATAGGAAATTATCAATGATGTTCTTAGCCAAATCCATGTTCAAGCAACAGCTTAATGGGTTTACATTGAATAACATCTTTTAATTGGAGAACTTTCGGATAGCATGGAGTGGTGCTTTTTTGTGTGAACCAGAAAACAATGTGCTGGGATGACAGCGCTGTCTCAATCTTACCAGTGAACCACTGCTCTTTTGCCAAAAAGAACTAGCAATTTAAAAGCTATGATTTGTTAAAAAGCATATATAGTTGTAGACTAGCATAAGTTACTAGACACCTCTTTAGTTCGCTGTGTCTATGAAAGCAGGAAATAAACTTATGTGTTTTTGATCTCATGCAAAATGATGGTTACCCTTTTTGTTCGACTACAGAAGCAGAGTTACCCTTCAAGAAATTAAAACATGCATGAGTTAGGAATAATTTCTTTGTCAAATAGTTGATAAAGTCTAGATCCTGTATTTTCCTATACATGCTGTTACCTTGATTTTTCAGAAAGAGTTGTAATGAGTATGTGTTTTGCTCTTGCAAAACCTTTGTTTCATCTTCTACAGGTAAGTCTATGAAGCGGCAGTAAGAGGACTGCACCTATTTTTGTGCTAGCTAGGCTGGGCATGAATAGCAAGCAGCTAGAGATGCCTGTAAACTGGTATCAGAGATCCTGGATTTTTAAAACTTGTTTGTAAACTGATTAGTGGTTTTTAAATTTTGAAAACCCTTTTTGCTTTACTTTCTTCAGTGAAAGAATGATACTTGATGTGGGGTCTTGTTTAGCACTTCTGTTTTCAAAGGAAACATGTTTTTCTATGTATACTTTTTGAAGGGGTTTTGCACAACAATTTGTGTCTACATGCCATTTGCTTTGCCTTCACTTTCTGCAGTGCTGATTCCTTCTGCTGAAGATGACTCAAACGCAGGCAGTTCTGGCTGCACTGCTCTTCTTCCTAATGAGTCTGGTTGAAGGAGCAGGTAAGTAGAAACATGCCAAACTACATGCACTGCTTTTCTTCCTAATGAGTCTGGTTGAAGGAGCAGGTAAGTAGAAAGATGCCAAACTACATGCACTCCTTGGTACTCTGTATTTCTAACTTACCAGTACACTGAAACTTCACAGTTCACCAGGGGAAATTCTGCTTATTGTTTAATGTGAATGCACAGACTGATGTCACCTCAGCTGGCAAAATAATCATGTGCTTTACACACAATGACATATCTCATAGAAATACAACATGAATCATCTGAAGACCCATTTCCTGTTCAACTGGGATGAACATACCAGGATTTCTGATATGCCCCTTATTAAATATGCCTCATGAACTACTGCACCAAGTGATCTTGGGTTTTAATCTTGTTAACGGGTGCATGTTCCACTGCTATCCCTGGTTTTACTTGCACTTTAACTAAGGTGCTTAATTCAGTAAAACTATTATTTATGTATTTTTAAACGGTAGTTTACTTTCACTTACGAGTGAATCATGCCCTCCCCATCAGTTTCCCAAGCCCATATTAAAGTGATAGTGTTGCCTAAAAAAAGATGGAGGACCTGCAGCTCATCAGCATGCATCACATACCTGCACAGTGTCCACAGTGGAAAGGCATTACCTCCACTGCATTTCCAGGATTCAAAGAGGGACAGCAGGAAACGACATGAACATTACATACTACTTATATGTGTCTACACAGAGCAATGTGTCCCCAGGGCAGCCAGTACAGTAAGGAAGTGAATTTTTTAATTGTACACTTACCTGTATGATTTGAGTATGGCTTGGTGTATGCTTTGATGATGGCTGTAGCATCGTTTTTCATGTCTTTTTTTTCTTCTTACGTAGCTTACAACATGGTGAGCGTGGAGGCTGGTCATGAGGCTGTGTTGAGTTGCCCTTATACCTTCGAGGTGCCTTTGCTGATGGTAATATGGAAGATGAAATGCAGCACTTGCTGCTTGTTTGCCTATAGAAGTGATCGCATTGAGACAAGGAAGTTAAACTGCAGCGAGAGGGTGATGTGGAAATACTCACCTGACAGTGACCCTGCTCTTCGTATTTACCCTGTGAACCTTGGTGATGAGGGAAATTACACCTGTGAAGTTGTCAGCAGTGCAGGGAATTTTCTTTTCTTCTCTTCTCTGACTGTGATAGGTAGGACATGCCTTGTGATTTTTATTTTTTTTTCAATTTGATTTGGTGGTAAAAATATCCAATTAATTTTGGATGCCTACAGAAATTGAAAGTAAAGGGGTTAGCTGATTTAGCCTGGCTATTTGGAGAGGGGAGGTTTCAAAATGCAGAAATCCAACAGTCTGCATAGTTTCTGAGGGAGTTCTTTGGGTGTAACATGGGGTTTGAATGTTGTGTGAATGTTCACACAACCAGGAGTATACACTCTTGGTTAAGTTAGTGCAAACAGAAGACATCAAATAAATATTGCTCCTATAAGCTGAGCAAGAGGATTCTGAAGCAAAAATCACACTGGGGTCAATGTGTGTTTTGTCTGGTTAGAGCTGAATAGGAAAGAAGCAAAAGTTTCAGGACACTATTTGGAAATATTTCACTCTTCCAGAAGTATGGAAAGCTGTCTGTAAGACTGCATCACTAAAACAAAAATCAAATTAGTCTATTTTCAACTTAGGCAGGAAAAAAAGAATATTAAGAAACATACTAAATGCATCAACTCATCCTTTCAGATAGTCAGGTAAATTGTCTCTAGGTTTCCATAAATTTAAGAAAAAACACATAGGAGAAGATTTTGTGTTCTGGCTGTATCAGTTAAGCCCTCTGAATATAACCAAAAAAATATCCCTATGATCTAATTCTTGATTCTACCTACCCAATCTCTCAAATATTTTAGCTGGATCTTCAGCAAGCTGTGTTTTCTGCAGTATGTGCACTGCTGTACTAATTATGTATTCACAGGATGGTTCTGGTTGAAAAAGCCCTTTAAGATCATCAAGTCCAACCACAACCTAATTCTACCAACCACTAACCTAACTCTACCAAGTCCAGTGCTTAAACCATGTCCCTAAGCACCATGTCTGTATGTCTTTTAAACATCTCCAGGGATGGTGATTCAAGCACCTTCCTGGGCAGCCTGTTCCAGTATTTGATAACCCTTTAGGTGGAGAAGTTTCTCCTAATATCTAATCTAAACATCCCCTGGTGCAACTTGAGCTCATTTCCTCTAGTTCTACTGCTTGTTACTCCTGTCTGTCATCCCACCTTATTCTATTACCACAGTGGTCACATTTTGGAAAACATGAGGAAACTGTACTTTTAGATGCAACTAGCTGATTTTGGAGATACTCACCTTGGAATTTTTTTGATGTATTTCTTTCCTTAAAGATCATTGGTGTTAATATTCCAAATTACTTTAAAATATCTAATTCATTGTCAAACTGAAAAATACCACACATTTTTCAGTTTCCCAGCTGGTGATTTTTTATACTGAACTAGAAATAATGGTTGTGACCTTTTTTTTTTTTCCTTTCTTCTTCCTTAGTCCCTCCTACTGTGACTCTGACCAGTGATACGAGCAGGGTGGCTGCATGTCATGCATCTGTTGGAAAGCCAGCTGCTGACATCTCCTGGATCCCTGCAAGTAATCACAGCACTGAGGAAGAAGTCCATCACCTCAATGGAACAGTGACCAGAGTGAGCTACATAGGCTGGGTCAACAGCATGCTTCCCACCGTCACCTGCCTGGTTACCCACCCAGCTATAAACCAGACTCTCTTCTTAGACCTGTCATGTAAGTAACAATGTTCTGTAATTTCTCTTTGTCATGCTCTTGGGTTTCTTTGTGCTGCTCTGAGAAGCTGTTCCTACTGAATGCCAAGGCTCTGCAGATTGTTTAGTGGGGTTATAAGCCAAAGTCCTAATGCATGTCGATAGAGAAATTAATAATTTTGAGTTAGTCAGTCGAAACCAAATGTTTTGTGGCATTGTATGGAGAGACTTTCAGTGTGTGCTTCCTTCTATCCCTGATATTTTTTACAAGAGTTCCTGATCCTGCTTTTGGTGGGCTGACATTGGCTAGATACCAAGTGCCCACCAAGCTGCTCCATCACTCTCCCTTCTCAACAAGATGGGGGAAAAAGATAGGACAAAAAACTCACAGTCTGAGATAAGGACAGGGAGATCACGCATCAGTTACTGTCATGGGCAAAATAGCCGTGACTTGGGCAAAATAATTTATTGCAAATCAAAACAGAGTAGGATAGTGAGAAATAAGAATGAATCTGAAAGCATCTTCCTTTCACCCCTCTCCTCCTCTTAGGGTATGTTATCACAGAGATGCTGTCAACCTTGCTGACTGGCCCAGCTTTGGCCAGCATATCTGTCTTGGACCCAGCTGGCACTTCCTCTGTTGGACATGGGGGCAGCTTCTGACATCTTCTCACAGCAGATACCCCTGCAATTCCCCACTACCAAAACCTTGCCATGCAAACCAAACACACTGCTTCAATGATCTTTTTAATCACCAATGACAGAAAAGTTGCTTTCAGCAGCCACCATGATACAGTTCACTAATTTTTCCTGTGATGGTTTGAACCCCTGAAGTTGAATTTTGTCCAGATTCACACAGTGGTGATGGTCTGGAGAAAAATTCCTTGGAGAATGTCTGTCTTTGACTTTGAAATTATCTTTCCCAGGGCCAAAGGTAGTAAAGGGTAAAGTTCAGTTTTTCAGCTGGCTATGCTGGACCTGTTGTTACAAGTCTATTCCAGTAGAATCTGTAAGAACAGCTAAATAAGTGTTCATATCACCAAAATACCACAGTATAGGCACGAAGGACAGAAGTCAGCATAGACCAGTCATTAACAACAGCATTTTGCAGGGATGGCTGGTCATTCTGTTGTTGCAGGGCTAATATAATTTGAAGAAAATGAGACCATGCAGGCAAATTAGTTGAAAATGAAAGTGTTTGTACACAAAGGACTGGATATCCTTTAGCAATAGGCAGCTTCCTATTGCTGGTTGGCATCCAGAGATTTCATCTGTGTGTCTTGGCTCATTTGAGCTGAGGGTGAAGTATTAGCTTTCTCCTCTAGTTAAGGCAGGTAGGAACAACATGTAGGCAGTGGATACTGACAGCTAGCTCTGTAACTAGCTTTCTCTTCTCATCTCTCAGACACTCGCTCCAGCCTTCCTTATCTCCTGATGGGAGGATCAGCAGGTGTTGCTGCTGTCAGTGGTGTGACTTTATGCTTGATTTTCAGATGCAGAGGTAAGCCATTTGATGAGCCTGAAATGTATTATAATTCCATTGCTGACTATGTGCAGGTAGAAGGACATGTACTTTATTGCTGAGAGTGGAGTGGGCTGTAAGGATTGGGGAAAATGTCCATATAAGATGCATTGACCTGTTGGAAAAGTTCTAATAAAATAAGGGGTGGAACATTAAAACAAGTCCTGAGTTCTGAAAAAGACATAGTTATTATGATAGTAAGGCATTATATATATGGCAGTGAGTAAACCAGGATGAAAAGGATTCCTTTTGAGCATAGGATAGGTTCACAGAATCACCGAGGCTGGAAAAAACCTTTAAGATCATCAAGTCCAGCCTATGACTTAACACCAGAACATTGGCTAGACCATGGCACTAAGTGCCACATGCAGCCTTTTCTTGAACACATCCAGGGATGGTGCCTCTACCACTTCCTTGGGAAGTCCATTCCGTTCTGAGTTTTTAGAATTATTTTGATCATTCTGCATTTACTGACATAAAACTCTGTACATGAGAATGACTGTTCACAAACTAGTCTAATGACTAGAGACAAACAACCCTCTTGATCCCATCAGGAATTGCATATTTCCTTTGAGAAAGTGTAAGAAGAGGCCAAATCTACATACTTTCCTCTGGTACGCTCGCAGTTTCTCAGTTTCTGTAGATTTCATTGGTACTGGGTCAGGGTCATACTAAATAACTTGCTACTGAGAACTCAGATGTTTGTTACTCTTGGAGTCGAGTAAGATGCCTGTGATGGGGTATGAATGGAGTGGAAGCCCAAGTGGAGGCTTGAAATGGCAGAGAGACAGAACAGTAGGCTGAAGGCAAGAGTGTTTTCAGAAGAGCAGAAGATGAAGCACTGGCAAAAGGTAACGTAGAGGTGGGTGAACTGTAAATGGAGGAAACTTGCAGAGAATCAGAGTGCCTAATTTACTCCCCTCCATTGCCTTGGCTCTGCTCTAGAGGTGAAATGAAGTGAAAGAGGGGCAATGAGGGGAGATGTGTACTAGAAGAGCAGAGAAAGCAGGGTGGAGAAAACAGGAAGAGAGAAGAAGAAAACAGAAGAGCACTTGTTATTGGCAGTGGCAGCACTGACCAGTGCTTGCAGCTTTTTGATGGGAGCCTGTCCCTGTCATGGAGTGAACTACTTCTTTGTGACAGGTGAGGAGAGGAGCAAACATGTTCAAATGGGTTCCCTGGCCCATCACGTCCCCACAGAAAAGTGAATTCAGTCATGTCTCCCAGGGTGACAAAAATTTTCCATCAAGGGCAAATAATAATGGTGTGTTCAAGAGCAGGACATAAAAAATAAGAACTTAACCAGTGAGTGCAACTGTATTTTGAAGCAAGTCTTTCAACAGCTAAGGGCAGGTAGAGGAGAACTCCAGACATAACAGCTGTCCACCTTTCCCCATCAAACCATCTTAATTTCCTGACGTCCTACTTTCAGCTTCCCGGTTGCGTAAATTGGCACATGGGTCAGCAGTACCAGCTGCAGTAAGTGGGCTTTTCTTTTGTGTATTTTTCGTCTATTCTCCACTAAAACATGTGCTTTCATTGCAACATGTCTGCTTTGACAAGGAGCTTATGTCTCTGTGTCCTTGGAGTGAGGAACAGTGTTTCTGGGAGCGTGTCAATTGTTTGGATGGCCCAATCTTTGTGTTTATTCAGAGCATCTGAGTAATTGCTGAAGTGCTAGATGGAGAGTTGGAGCACTGCATTTCCTGCCCAAGAATACTATAAATTACAACACCAGTGGTTAAACTGAATTTTAAATCTCCCAGAAGTTAATGTTTTCACATCTCTGCTTCACAGAGTAATCTTAACTCTGATCTTTTGCTTAAGAATGTGTATTGCCCTTGATGGCAGGAACCTGCCTCATTAAAGACTGAATGAAAACAGGCAAGTGATTTACAATGAAGGAAAAGGGTGCAATTCCTTATATTGTATTAGAGACAAACACGGCTATGAAACTGTTACTTTTTAAGCTGCAGTCCAAACACTTAGAAGCTAGGAAACAGCAGTGATAGAACTTGCCACAGCAACTTTTACTTCTCTAACTCCAATGTGTTGCGATACATATTTAACAGCATGATAATATGCTGCTCTTTTCTCAGGGCCCCTGCTTCATTTAATCCCCACTGAAAAAGCAATTATTTCATATTTTGTTTTCTGCTTTACATTTAAATTAATGGTTGTGTGCCTTGTTTTTTACAAACTAGTCAAACAGTGTTCTGAAGCTAGAATGATTAATTTTCTGATATGCTTTGCTATGGCATTCAGGACAAGTTGACTGACAGGAGTGGGAGTTGCAAACATCGAAGTCAAAAGCTTCTAGTAATTTTAGGTGCTTAAATTTGATTGCCTGTGGCTTGCCTGTGTTTTTTTCAGAGAAGTTAATGTTGTTCATTAGAATCTATTTTGCTGAAAATGCAGGCATTTCAAAATCTGTTTTTAATCACATTAAGGAAAAAATAATTCAAAAGGCTGTCCTTTAAGCTGTGTGAAATCAGTTGTTGCATCTCTGCATCAGTTCAGGTTTCACTCTCTGTGCCCTACCCCTTTGCTTACAGAACTTAGAGAAATAACTGCACATTTTCTTTGCAAAAGTAATGTTGCCTCCTAGGTTTCTTCTGGCCTTGATTTTTGTTTGGACTCTCTAGGTGTATGATGGTTCCACAAAATTCTATCATGTAATACAATGGCACATGTTTTTCTTCATTTTGCAGACCAAGACCTTCAGGTCCGTACCATCACTTGCGAAACCAGATGTGATTGAGCCTTCTATCTTATCAGAGAGTATCTATCAAAATTACAATCCAACAACGATATATATGAACTATTAACAGAGTGGTTACAAGCAGTCTAATATCAACTCAGCTACTACTTATACTCAGTTACTTGAACTCGTACTTCAACTAACAAATCTCAGACAGAAGCACATAGCAGGCCAACAGAACAGTCAAAACTGCCCCACAAAAGCCTTTGTCTTTCCTGGCCTGAAGACAGTAGGGGGGAGCAGTCTGTTTTAGTAAATTATTTATCCTTCTCTAAACCTTAGCTTCAAAACATTTGAAATTTGCAAAGATTGAGTTGGGGAAATACATATCTGATTATTGTTTGAAAGTGGACTCTGATACATGTGCTGGCTTCCCTCAAATCGAAATGACAGACTGTTGGTGAATATGTAGCACTTTTTCTTCCATTCTCACAGCTGGATTATTTTTGCAATTTTGTGGTGGAAACCAGGAAGTGACATAGGAGACCCCAAAACATAGAAGATCAAAGAAATTCATCCTGCAGAAATGCAGAAATAAGAGGGTTTTTTTAGCTGGGTAGTTACATGATGCAGGTGACAATCTGATCTTTGTCAGCTTTATTTTTTATTTTTAAATGTATTTATTTTTCAATCAAACTTTATGTTGGCATTGATAACAGAAGAAAAAAGCCAATTGGAAATTGTACTTGGTATAGAAATAACAATGGGTAATTTTTTAAGGTTAATTTTAAATTAAACATACAAATATTTACTTCAACTATTTCTGGGGATATTTGGGTAAATTATTGCCCAACTTTTTGCAAGGTTTCTTAGAAGCTGAGATCACAGCATGCTTTTACTGAGAACAGAAGCATTAAGTTGTGAAAAATATAGGTGGTGTCCTTTTTTAAAACAAACAAAAAGAATGCCTAACCCAGTAATTTCTTTCTCATCCTCCTGCCCCCAAGCTGAAAAAAAAATCTCACTGATTGGTTGCTAATTTCAGATTTATTTTGTCAGATTTGTCAGACCTTTTAAACACTAACGCAGCACTAAGTTTACTCATATGTGTTTTGAATGGCCTTTGCCTGCTTGTTGCTGGATAAAATCATCTTTGCTTCTTCAGTGTTTTTAGGCATGAGGATCTCCCAGTGACTTCTAATTGCACTTCACTTTATCACTTCTAAATATACACGGGTGGTGGGCACCTACTGACATCACTCCTGCCTGTCATTTTAGTCAGGAAGGCATAAAGAGTGGCGCTCTGCCTTAATGAAAAATGCCCCCAGAAGGCCATCCCTTTACACCTGCTGGGTAACTGAGCAGAGCCTTTCTTGTGGTGGTAAACGTCAATGATGGGTCACTACCTCAGGGATGTGTACTGCTTCTTCATGTCACCTGTGAGGAAGGAGAGGCACCATCTAATGTATACAGCCTTTTGAGAGAAATAAGTGACAGATAGCTTGGAATTACTGGAAACAGATCTCCACCTATACTAGCTAGGAAAAGCATTTTGTAGCTCTAGTGAAATTCATAGCAGTGCTTTCATCTCAGGAACTGGTTTCCCACTTCTCCTGGCCCACATCTGGCAGTGTGTGATGGTCACAGTCCAGCAGCTGGGACCAGTCACAGAGATCTCAAGGAGTCAGTTGTGACGGAAAGCCTCTGAATTGGGGGAAAAATCTCTTTCGTAGGTCTTAGCCCAGTTAGGTCTAAACCTGGGCTCCTAGGCTGGTGTTGCTCAGTGTGACAAGTCAACATGGATTGTTTCTATGGACAACTACAGCAATTTGTGTCTGTCTTATTCAGAAGCTGGACCATTGCAGCCAGACCAAAGGATGACATGACTGTCAAACTGATGATACAGGTTTTGAAGCTGTCATGGTGCATGTGTGTAATGATTTCTAAGGTGCAATGCAAGAACTTATCAACGTTTCTTTCCACCAAGTGAAATGTTGAAGAGTAAGATCTAATGGAGACAGGGAGATGACAGTGTGTGTGGGTAAAACCCTCTGGAGAAACATCACTGTGATAAATAGCCCTGGCTGAAAACCATGGCTTCTGCGCTCATTGTTGTATTTTCCCTTTAATTTGTATTTGCGGAATTGGTCCAGTCACCTGCAACATGTCAGCTTTTCCTAGAAATTCTGAGGAGACTTTAGTGATGTGCTGAAACAAAGTGCTCAGGCAATGAGATAAGATTCCTTTGTGGTTCAAGTACTCAGTGTAATGGGCTCTCCTGGCAGTTCCACATCTCTTAACAGCCACGTAGACCATGGTTTGCCTGATTTCTTGTTTCAAGAGCAAATTCTGCTGCAACTTCTCTGAAAATGAGCTTGCAGGCTTGCAAGCCTCATTAAGCTCTGATCATCACCTGTTTACTGCCAACAAAAAGCTTGAATTAGCAACCCGCAGCTCAGGCAAACCCACATGTTGCAGGCACTAAAAGGCCTCAGCTGCCTAATTGTTGCATCTTCCTCTTGCAATAAAATTGGCCCTCATCCTTTTTGAGCTCGTTGTGTATGATTAATAAAACTTATTAGGCCAAAGAGAATAATGTGGCTAGTGGGTGTGATTGCAAGAAAGGCTGAGACATGAATCATGCTTCTAGGCAGAACATAGTAATTGAACAAGCTCAGTGAATTTTCTGTTCATCTTTTGTATGTTATAATACTGGCACAGGCAGCAGGTAGTTTCAGATACAGTTTGCTTCTTTTTTAGCTATTTGCAATTCACTGGAGCTTTTGACCACAAGGATATGCATTATATCCAAGCTGCCAACAGGTGATAACTCTTCTAGTGGGCCTGCCAGATCTGCTAATAGCATCCTTTTTGAAAGGAGCAAGATGGGCTTAGTCAAGAAGTGGGCCCACGTGTAAGCTGAGAAAGGAAGCCCTTGGTGCTTGGGATAAGACATGGAGATCTGCACATTGAATGATTTTGTATGGAAGCAGTGAGAGGAAAATGGGAGAGACTGGAGAAGGGTGTTGTTGTGATCCACGACTTGTTTATCTTCCTTTTTTGGAGAGATTTTAATTTATCAGGATCTGCTGAGAGGTCAGTACATGGTGCTTGTCTCTCACAGAGGAGCAGTGAGCTTTGGCACTAACTTTTTGGGAGAGACACCTGTCTGGTACTCACTAATGTTCCCAATGGAAGCAGCTGACTCCCAAATTACAGTTCAGGAATCTACAGTTTATTGATGGAATAAATAACACAATTTGGCACAGGAGGCTCAAAGAAGGTAACCAGGAAACAATAATAGCAATAATAATAATAACAATAGAGAATAATGGAAAAACAACAATAATACTGTACCAAGGTAACTCCAATTAATGACAACAGCAACAACACCCCGTTGATGTAAACAACAGCAATAAGGAGAAAGGAAAGGAATGGGAAAGGAGGAGGTGGAGGGCTTGCCTAACAGATGGTAAAAGGGATCATGGAGAGAATAGGGATGGGGGTCGGGTAGATGGGCAAGGAAGGATTAAGGGCAAGTAAATATTTTTCTTTACCCAAGTCCCAAGATGACCAGCTGTTTTATAGGCTTTCAGTGTCTTCCTGCCTCACTGGTGGACAGGTTTAACCAC